CCCTCGGCCCTTAAAGGGGAAAGGTTGCCTACCCCTGCCTTAGAATTAGGTGGAAAGGGCTAATAGAGTTTGGTATCATGAGCACACTAGTGACACCTAACCCAAAACTTCAGACAATCTCTCCCTGTGATTTCATGTATATGTTAAATAGCATAGGGAACAAAACTAAACCCCAAGGGACTCCACAGGTCAAGGGCCAAGAAGTCAAAGAGGAGTCCTACGGTCTGACCTACAGCATGAGGCAGGTTAGACCTAATGATTTTGTGAATGAGCACAGGTTACTTCAGGGGAGTGAAACTTTTGATCCTTCAGATACTAATAAACTACTACTCCATCATGCCTCATCCCTGACCAAGATGGCTAGGATAAATGAGAATTAAAGTTCATCACTCTCTAGAGGTAGGGACATAGAACCCCTAGCCTAGCATAATACAAAAAGATCTTCCTTTTTGACAATCCAGCCCACCTGTCTAATTCACCATCCCAACATGTTCCATGTTCTTCTCTTGGTTCCTCTGCCACATGCCTTGTCTTCATAACTGACATGTAGTTATTCCTCTGTGTATTCATAAACATCAATTACCCACAGTGAGACATTCAGGATGTTGTCACAGGAGGCTGATATCAAAATTTTCTTTGTTCTCATAACATGGAAGATGATCACACAGTTCTTTTGCCAGCTTTGGTAAGGAGCTGTTTGGTAAAGATTATTTCTTAATCCTCCTCATTATTCAGTCCGTCTTTCTCCTTAGCACATGCCTCCTGAGATGGCAAAATAATCATGCTTTTCCTCTGTATTTCTCTCCATGGTGTTTTCTAGAGAGCAAAATGATTTCTTTTTGTAAATAAAGAGCAGGTGAGTCATCAAGCTCCATGGGATACGAGAGACAGAAGTATCCAGAACAAGCGATTGTTCATTTGGCAATAACAATGGTGACATCAACCATAATTAGGTGTGTGTGGGGGGGGGGGATCTTGTTAAAGATTTACATCTCATTATAAGATGCATCAGTCTTCATTATTCTCATGCAATTTTTTACATATTAGAAAGTGAATCTGAGAAATGTAACACATCCAAACTTATCTTAATAAATATACCGGTAATAATAGTAATGCCCACTGACTCTGTCCTGAGCAATATTTTTACAGGCTCTGTTTTTATCTTGCCCTTTCTGCTGGAAGAATTCAAGACAGCATACAGGATTTCCCCCTTTAACCCAACAATAACCCTGTGAGAGATGGAGAGCTGAGAAAGATCCTGGGACAGGTCAACAAATGAGATTTGTGCCAGAATGGAGATTTGAGTCCAGAACAACTCACCCAATATTCTAAACTGGAGTGTATTGTTCTTTATTATGTTTTCAATGTGTTTTTAAAATTGTTTTTTAACTTGTATTTTTAATTTGTTTTTTAAATAATCCATTTGAATTGTGTTTTAACTTTTGTATTAACAGGGTTGTTTTTTTTTTTTTAGTTTTACTGTGCTTTTAAATAGTTGTAAGCTGCTTTGAGTCCCATGCTGAGAGAAAGGTGGGAAATAAATAAATTAAATAAAAATAAATATATGTGTAAATTAGATAAATAAAAATAAATGACACACCTTCAGGTGGTCTCCAATAGACCGGTAAAAATTCCTGACTCTTAACATGGAAACAAAAACAAAAACAAATTGTGACTCCTCCCTCATTGTACCCTCCTCTAAGTTATATTGCTGAACATAAAGTCATCTCCGAGGCAGGGAAGAGAAGGGGCAGCCGCATGATCGGCGCCCCTTCCTCCTCCCAAGGTTGCCCTCGGAGCTGCCAGCCCTCCGCACGGCTGGCGCTCCGGGGGCAACCTCCCACCGCAGCGTCCGCACACGCTACGGCGGAAAAGTCAGGGAAAGTGCGCCCTACGCGTTTAGGGTGCACTTTCCCTGACTTCTGAAAGGAGCGCCAATTTAGCGCTCCTTTCAGGGATGCCGCCGGTGCGCTGTGGTGCGGATGCCGTGGTCCTGCGGCGCACTGTCCCAGGGCATCCTGGACACCCTGGTCTGCTTCCCCCCTTAGTTGAGGCAGATTCCTGTATAGAATTACTGTGAGCTAATTTCAGGTCTGGTACTTAGAACAAAATCATTGGGTTTTGCATGCTTTAATTCTAAGGGTAGGTTTTTGAACCTCCCTCTATATATTCAATTATGGTTCTAAGTAGAAAACAACAACAAGATGTCAAGAATTTGATGTTTGTCCATTCCTGCTCTAAATAGTGCACCATGCAATCTTGCCACTGCAGATGAAGTGTAATGTAATGTAATGCTTAAAAATATAATAAGGCAGCCAAGAATATCTATAATTCACTGGTGGACCCTAATTGAAAAACCTGAGTTCAGCCATTGGGCCTGTTCAGGTGGTTGGCATAAATCTCAAAACTGTTATCCCCAATATGTCTTCTGAATACCACAATAAAAGACATGTAGACCATGGGATGCAGATTCTGTTGCTCTGATAGTGCCAGGAGCATCTATTGCAACAAATGGGGAACATTTGGCCCTCCAGAGCAAAGAACGTTCCAGTAACATACCAAGCAGAGAACACCGTTCTTGCCCTCCCATTGCTCAGCTGTGAACAGTTTCATTATATCATTATATCATATAAATATATTGTATAATTATAGCCATTCTTAAAAGTAACTTTCTAAAGTCTGCTCCAGATATTTTTGAAGTACAACATCCATGACACTGCACCGGGCTAGGGCTGATGGGAGATGTAGACCAACCATATCTGAAAGGCCAGAATTTCTCCACTCCTGTATTATAGCTTTTCCCAACCTGTTGCCCTCCAGATTTGTTGGACTATGATTCCCACAGGACTTATTCTTTCTAAGGACAATGGAAGTTGCTGCCCTATAGATCTGGAGGGTGCCAAGTTGGGGAAGGCTGAACTGTCAAGTCCACTGTAATAAGATTGGTTTCTCATGGTTTCCTGTTGCCTCTTCACCT